TGCCTGATGCATTTTTCTTCCAAGTCCTATTTACAACATTTTCATCCACCAATCATAGGGAATCCTCCTAGGGTTTCGCACCCCTATATAATGTTAGCAAGATCATTCTTCATCCCCTGATTCTATTCTTAGCTTCCCATTTTCAGCTGCAACAAGAAGAAATCCCGTGTAAGCTTATTCTTCAACCTTTCCATCCATTCATCATTTTTCTCCTATCTTTCTCTTAGCTTTTTCTCTAAGGTCTTGTAGTGACTAGTGTATGGTTTGTTTGAGTTGTTTAGGAGGTGCAGAAGAGGGTATCTAGCTTGGAAAGAAGGTGGAATCCCAGCTCAAGGAAGAAAGCTACAAAGGTATAACCCCATGGATTCCCAATCTCTTTTTTACTCTGTGAAGTCACTGCTATGTAGTTAGAACTGAGTAGAAATGAAAGAATATTGTGTGTTTGAGCCATTAGATGACTTGTTGATGTTGTATAATGTGTTGATGATGTTTTGAAAGTGGAAAATTGTCTGAAATTGCTTTACAAGTGAAGAAGAAGCCTCTAGTGCACAACACAGTGTGCACCAGATAGAAGTCACGGGCCTAGCCAACGACCCACGTGGGGAGCCGCTTGCTAGATCCGTGACAGGACGGCCCTAGGCCTCTGCCGGGCGGTTCTAGGCAGCGGGGTTCGTCTAGCCCTGCTGCAAGTTCGGTTTGGTTTTGTTCGTGCAGTGACCGGGCCCTTGTGGCTCAGCTACGTGTCATTTCAGACTGGGTGTCATGGGCCCTTGTGGCTCGGTACCTTGGGGCCGTCATGACTCACGTTTGGATTTTGATTTCGTTGAATTTGGATTAGAAATGAGCATTATATGACAAGTTTTGTGAAGCAATTATGTTACAGTAATGTTCCAGTGGGGGAAATTGAGAAGCATCAGACTTGGTTTTGCCTATGTGATCTGTATGATGTTATTTGATTGTTAAATTTAGAAGCATGATCACTAATTGTTTAGGTTTTGTTAGAAGAGCAGGCCTAAAGTGTATTTTATGATTCAGGGAGATTATTGTCAAGTTTCAATTGATGAAGTGTACATAGCATGTTTTTTTTTTTTTTTTAATTTTGAGCATGTTTAAGTGTCCTTTGAGAGTTCACATTAATATATAGAATTGAAGTATGTTGTACAGTAAATGGAATTTCAAGCATGTCATGTTTTAAAAATGCATAAGTGGCCAACGTGAGCCTAAATATTATTTTCCAAAACTCATGAGCATGTGGAAAGTCATTATCTTGTTGCATTGAGAATTTGTTGAGAAGTGACATGCATAAGTGTGCATAAGTAGAGGAGTTGCCTGAGATATATATATACTATCTATATAAGTGAGGTTTTGGAGGACCCGTTTGGACTATGTCCTTTCGGAGAGGAAGTAACGGACATTGCGATCCGATGACATGTAACGCGGTGTATTCCCAAATTACGAGGTTGGAAACTTCCCACCAGGCTTGGAATCCTGGTTAAGGGGTGTGCACGGTGATAGTTCGATACCTGATTCCACAGAGTTTGAGCATAGAACCAAGAAAGTGGTTCGGTGGACGAGATGAGTATTAGGCCGGCTAGACGTCGTGCCCGGATAGGTTCGTTCATGATACGTTAAAGTTCCTACCTCGTCCATTTGTAAAGAACGTGAGTCATTGCGACTCTAAGAAAGAAAGAGCAAGCAAGTCCTTGTGGCTCTAAGAAACCTCCACAGAAAAGTATTCTATTTACAAACGAGTGTATACGTATACTTATCCTATAGCATCTTATTGCATTCGAGTATAGTATTGCACGAGATTGCATAATTAGAATGTTTATATTCGAGATTGCATAATGAGAATGTTCGCACGAGATTGCATAATGAGAGTGTTGCACGAGATTGCATAATGAGAATTGTTGGAAAATAGGAAGTACTGGGAAATAGGAAGTGCTTATCTAGAGCAATGCACCATTTATTGTAGCTGTCTTCTCTATCCTTGGAAAAAGGATTAGGTTTTGTGTGTGCAGCCTAGCATTTATTGTGTATCTTATCTGCTGTCTTTCCAATGCTTTTGTTGTGCCTATATATTTAGTGTGTAATCTGTAACTTGACAAGATACAGAAATGAAAGCTTTGTTCTACCCCTTTTCTATTATTTCTCAACATGGTATCAGAGCCACCTTCTTTGGGGCCTGAAAACTTCTTCAGATGAACACAGTGAACTGTGTTCTTAACCACTGCCATTGGTCTCTTTCTCGTTTTTCATCCTGGAGGATTTCTTTTCGCAAACTGGTGTGTGAAACCATCTTGTGAAGCGCCGGCGACCCTGACCAACCTTTTCCGGTCACCAACAGCCTCCACACGCGCCGCCACACAGTCGCAGCTCCAACGTCACGCGCCTCCACGCGCCGGCGCGTGGACCCCTTTTCCGGCGAGCTTTTCCAGCCATTTTTTTCCAGATCTACTTGTCTCCTATCTGCGACCCTACTATATTTTTCCCACATTTTTCTACAAATATGGCAGAAGGAGAAATTTTAAATAGTGTCCAACCTAAAGTCTATGTCCCAAATCTCTCAGGAAACTTGATTATTACCACTGAAAAACTCATTGGGTCCCAAAATTATCAAGATTGGGCAGCAGCAGTTGAACTATGGTTTATGGGCCAAGGTGTTGTTGACCATCTCACTACAACAACATAAGAAATCCAGCATGAAAAAGACGTTTGGGAGAGGGTCGATGCCCAACTGTGCAGCCTGTTATGGCTATCCTTGGCCCCTGATTTGATTCCTATGTTTAGGCCATTCAAAACCTGTTCTTTAGTATGGAAACATGCTCAGTCTCTCTACACAAATGATATCTCTCGTTTTTACTCCATTGTTAGTGAGATACTAAATGTAAAGAAATCAGGGATGTTAATGGAGAAATTTCTAGGAAAAATTCAAGGGCTTATGGCTGAATTTAACAAGCTTATGCCTATTGGAGGATCACCGGAGGAGCAGCTTGCCCAACGTGACAAATTCTTTGTAGTCCTTACTCTTGCCAAGCTTGAACCTGAATTTGAGCAAGTCCGAAACAGTATACTTGGAGATGGAACTGTTCCAAACACCAAAGAAATGTTCAAAAGACTCCTTCAAGTCTCTTCTGTTTACAAAGAAAATACACCATCCTCTACCATAGTTGATTACTCGGCCCTTACTACTCAAGGTCATCATGGTTACAATAGAGGAAGAGGTCGAGGAAGTAATCGCGGTGGTCAAGGTGGAGGACGAAATCCATCATTTCATTTTTTGTGATTTTTGTAACAAGAAAGGACATACTCGTGAGGTTTGTTGGAAGCTCCATGGAAAACCAACTGTGGCTAATGTAGCTAAGTCTTCATCTGAAAATCTAAGTACTGAGGACTCAAATACTCATATGATCTCTAATGTCGAGTACGAAGAGTTTTTACAGATGAAGGCTGCCAGAACCAACATTTCTCCTGAAGTATCCCACACTGTTCTTGATTCACAATCAGACTCGGTTTGGGTCTTAGACTCTGGAGCTACTGATCACATATCTGGTAACCCTTCCTTTTTCTCTCATATTAATTTTATGGACACGCTTCCTGCTGTTACCTTTGGTGATGGATCAAAAGGAAAGGCTAAAGGAATTGGGAAAGTCAATACTCATTCCTTGTCTTTATCTAATGTACTATATATTCCTGGCTGTCCTTTCAATCTTATTTCGATTCATCAACTTACACACTCTCTTGATTGTTGTGTTACCTTTTCTTCTGATTCTGTGGTGATTCAGGACCGACAGACGAGGAAGACGATTGGTAAGGGATATGAATCACGAGGACTCTACCATCTCCATTGCTACACTCTTGACAACACAGCCTGCATTGCTTCTGTTTCACCTTTTTTGAATCATTGTCGTTTGGGACACCCTAATCTCAATAAATTAAGACAACTTGTTCCTGGTTTGACAAACTTGAAAACCATAGAATGTGAATCATGTCAACTTGGGAAACACTCAAGAGCCTCATACCCTTGTAGGATCAATAGGAGAGCCAATGCTCCTTTTTCCTTAGTCCACTCTGATGTTTGGGGACCATGTGGTGTCTCAACCACCTTAGGATTCTCATATTTTGTTGTCTTCATTGATGACTATTCTCGGTGCACTTGGGTCTTTTTAATAAAAAATCGTTTTGAATTATTTGATGTGTTTCAAAAATTTTACAATGAGATTGTAAATCAATTTAGGGCGTCTCTCAAAATCCTACACAGTGATAATGCAAGAGAATACTTTTCTGAACCTTTCACTTCTTTCTTCTCTTCACATGGAATTCTGCATGAAACTTCATGTGCTAGAACTCCACAGCAAAATGGAGTTGCTGAACGAAAGATTCGACATCTTGTTGACACAGCCCGTACTTTGCTGATTCACAACAAGGTTCCTAAAAGGTTTTGGGGGGATGCCATATTGCATTCTTGTTACCTCATAAATAGAATGCCTTCCTCTATTTTGCAGGGAAAAATTCCTATTCATATCTTACTCCCACAAGAACCCCTCCATAAGCTTCTGCTACGAATCTTTGGGTGTACTTGCTTCGTTCATGATTCTTCCCCGGGGCGTGACAAACTGGATGCCAAGGCAATAAAATATATTTTCATTGGATATTCTCGTCTCCAAAAGGGCTTTAGGTGTTATTGTCCTAAAACACACCGTTTTTATACCTCCTCTGATGTTACCTTCTTTGAAACTACTCCCTTTTTCTCTTCTACCTCTACTATTGAGTCTGATTTTCTAGACGAACCCATTGAAGTTACAGAAGTTCTCCCTAATCCTACCTTTTCTGAACCAGTTTCTCCCACTGTACCAATGCCAGCCACTCAAGAGGAAAGACATGTTTCACCTTTCCTGTACACCTACCAACGCCGCAACCGCCAAGACTACCAATAGGGTACACGTCCAATTGATTCATGTCCTGCATCATCGTTGCCCGCTGACACGGTCCAAGACACCATGACAAACTCTCCCATTTCCAGTCGAATAGGTAAAAGGACCACTCACAATCCTTATCCTATCTATAATTTTCTTACACAAAAGAGATTGTCCCCATCATATTGTGCTTTTATCACAAGTTTGTCTACTGTCTCGATTCCCAAGAATGTTAAGGAGGCGTTAAATCATCCAGGATGGAAACAAGCAATGGTAGATGAAATGGAAGCACTACATTCTTCTGGGACTTGGGAGTTGGTTCCTTTGCCTACTGGGAAAACTGTGGTTGGTTGTAGATGGGTATACAATGTGAAGATTGGTCCACATGGACAAGTTGATAGACTTAAAGCACGCCTTGTTGCTAAAGGATACACACAGGTGTTTGGTATTGACTACACAGATACTTTCTCCCTAGTAGCCAAGATCACCTCTATCCGCCTTTTGCTCTCAATAGCAGCCAACCGCCACTAGCCATTATATCAATTGGACATCAAGAATGCCTTTCTACATGGTGACTTAAAAGAAGAAGTATATATGGAGCAACCTCCTGGCTTCGTGGCTAAGACAGGAACTAATCTGGTTTGTCGCCTCAAACGCTCTCTCTATGGGTTAAAGCAATCTTCATGTACTTGGTTTGGGAGGTTTAGTAAGGTGGTTCAACATTTTGGCATGATTCAAAGCAAGGCCGACCATTCTGTCTTCTATAAGCATCTATTTGGAAAAAGTATATATCTTGTGGTTTATGTCGATGACATTGTGATAACATGAGATGATATAGAAGGAATAAATCAGCTTAAGAAGCATTTGTTCCAACACTTTGAGACAAAGGATCTTGAGAAATTGAAGTACTTTCTTGGTATTGAAGTTGCTCAGTCCAAAAAGGGCATCTACGTGTCCCAACGAAAATATGCGTTGGATATTCTTGAAGAAACAAATATGATAGATTGCAAGCCAGTTGACCCATGGACCCAAATGTCAAACTTCTTCCTGGACAGGGGGAGCCTCTATCCAATCCAAGCAGATACCGGAGATTAGTCGGCAAACTCCTATACCTGACTATCACCCGTCCGGATATCTCTTTTGCTGTTAGTGTGGTCAGCCAATTCCTACAGGAGCCATGTCAAAGTCATTGGGATGCAGCCATCAGAATCTTAAGATACGTGAAAAGGTCACCATGTACAGGATTGCTTTACAAAGATCATGAACATATAGAAATTATTGGTTATACAGATGCAGATTGGGCTGGATGTCCTTGGGATAGAAGATCAACATCAGGATATTGTATCCTATTTGGAGGTAACCTTGTTTCTTGGAAAAGCAAGAAACAAGATGTGGTTGCACGATCAAGTGCAGAAGCTGAATATCGGGCAATGGCTCTTGGGATATGTGAGCTAATTTGGGTTAAGCAACTTCTCACAGAACTCAATGTCTATAAACTTGATCCAATGAAGTTAATTTGTGACAACCAGGCAGCTCTACATATTGCATCGAATCCTGTTTATCATGAAAGAACCAAGCATATCGAGGTTGATTGCCACTTTATTCGAGAAAAATTTGCGTCCGGAGAAATCATTACTACATTTGTTGGGTCGAATGATCAACTTGCTGATGTTCTCACCAAATCCCTTCGAGGACCTAGGATTGAGTACATTTGTAGCAAGTTGGAGCATTTGATTTATATGCTCCAGCTTGAGGGGGAGTGTTGGAAAATAGGAAGTACTGGGAAATAGGAAGTGCTTGTCTAGAGCAATGCACCATTTATTGTAGCTGTCCTCTCTATCCTTGGAAAAAGGATTAGGTTTTGTGTGTGCAGCCTAGCATTTATTGTGTATCTTATCTGCTGTCTTTCCAATGCTTTTGTAGTGCCTATATATTTAGTGTTTAATCTGTAACTTGACAAGATACAGAAATGAAAGCTTTGTTCTACCCTTTTTCTATTATTTCTCAACAAGAATGTTTGCACGAGATTGCATATCGAGAATGTTTGCACTAGATTGCATATTGTGAATGATTACCCGAGATTGTATATTGAGTATGATTGCCTTAATTGCATATTGATGTTTGATATTTCTAGCTTGCATGATGAGAACTTGAAAGCATGAGAATAATTTCTTATTAATTGATAGCTCAAAATTGCTTGATAAGTTTATGTGTTAGCATGAGATTGTTATCGAAATGTTATACAGGATTTAGATTTGATATGTTAAGTACGCGATAGTATGAGCATGTTGTTAGGTTGATATCGTTGAAGTATGCCTATTTGATATTTTAGGTTGTGAGCATGTAGAAACCTTTGTTGTTTATATCAAGGTTTTGTCTAAGTGATTGAGATTGCTTAATTTGGGAACGCGAACAAATGTTTTTCCAAAGTATATACTGTAGTATTTTACAGGGTTGAGTGGAGTTATACTTAGCTTCGTGCTAACGGGTGTTTTCTATTTGTCTATTTCCAAAACCCCTTTCAGGTGGGCCCAGCTCTTGAGAATGCTCGAGTTAGACTAGTGTAGTTAGTTGATATGTAGTCTAAACTCTTGATCTATTATCGTTGTTTTTGACTTTATGGATGTAGACATCTTTCGTTTTGTTGGTGATAGACACCGGGGTACTTTTCCCCAAGTTATTTTAATGTAGTAAGTTATGAATGGTTAGTTCCTTTTGAGCCTGTGCAGTCACCGTGTATATTGAGTGTGGCGGTGACACTCCTTATTCGATGATTAGTAAATTAATGTTAATGATTAATTGCTTTATTTAAGTTAAGTATTTAATTATAAGGTTTTAGAAATTTGGGGTGTTACACTTATGGACCTTAAGCACAAGACTCACGCACCTTAAGTACAAAATTCACGCACCATAAGTACAAAACTCATGCACCTTATGTTTCAACAACTACTCACATTAAGTATACCCCCACACACCTTAAGCACAAAACTCACGCACCTTAAGCACAAAATTTACGCACCTTAAGTACAAAACCCACGCACATTACTTACCGCACAACCGCACGGGAACTTAATTATATATATATATATATATATATATATATATATATATATATATATATATATATATATATATATATATATATATATATATATATATATATATATATATATATATATATATAGATGTGTATTCAAATGCGGACAAGTATATTATAGAAGACTGTGGGGACAGATGTAGTGTGTGCCATTAGCCGGTATGTCGTGTGCATGGCCGAATGTAGTCGTGTGCCACAGGTTGTATGTCGCGTGCTAGATTTGTTAATTTATAGAGCCTAGGTTCGAAACCTGATGTTTACATTCATTCTTGTGTGCCTGGTATAAATTTGTTGTGTGCTCATTATTTGTCCTCACAGTCCTCTATATATTGTTGTCCTCATTTGAACTCAACCCTATATATATATATATATATATATATATATATATATATATATATATATATATATATATGTATGTATGTATATATATAATTTATTTATATTTATTTATTCATTAATAATAATATTATAATCATTATTATTTTTATTATATATTTTGTATACGGGTATTTATGTTTTTTTTAAAACATAATCCATTTCTTTTCCTTTAACCAACGAAAATGGAATACAATTTTAAAAGTCTATTCTTTTAGTGAAACACACAATATAATATAATTCATGTTCCATTTCTTACATATTTCATTCCTTATGTAATAACATTCCAATTCTCTCAAAATTCATTCCGTTCAATAAACGTGCGGCAAGAGTTTTGTTTTCAATGCGTTATTTTTATTACACATCGTATCTTATTTGATATGAAATCTATGCATCATTCATTTATTGGCAACAAAACATTTGCGTTTCATTTATTATTATATTGACGTTAAAATATACGGAGTAGTTATAATAGAAAATTTTATTATGAAAACCTAATTGTAGAATTTTATTTTATCATTATTATTATTATTATTATTATTATTATTATTATTATTATTATTATTATTATTATTTTATCCAAACTAATCTATTCGGCAAATGGTTAAATTTAATCTTTTGAAACACAATACCTACTAAGGTCAATGCATTTTAAAAAATTTATGCTAGATATTAATGTTTTTATCGTAAAAAATTAAAATATCATCCTCTAATATTTATAGGATTTCTGTGTTTATTTATTTATTTTGATCATTTAATTTTATTATATTTTTGTTGTTTATTGGGTATTACTCAATCACACATGTCCAGATTTACAATTAGTACTTCAAGAAATACTTATATAATTTGTTGAAGAAATAATTATATAATTAATTAGTTCTAAAAATATAAGTAAACTAAAAAATAAATAGCAAATTATTTTAGTTTACAAGAATTTATCCCACAATTAATGTTGATATTAAGTAAAATTATATAAAAAAAAAGGATGTAAAATGATATTAACATAAACGTACATGTTAATATAATAATTAATACGTAAGAACATATATAGTAATTAATTTATTTAGTATAATAAGATTACCAATTTCAAATTATTTGGTTAGAATTCTCAATTTGTGGTAAGTGCAAGGAATTGTACGTTCTACACAACGTTATGTAATATAGGATTATATGGTAAGTAGATAAAATTCGTTTACTATAAAAACGTCACTTTCAAAGTCCAATTTTTTCCAATAGAATCAAAGTAAAAACTATTCATGACTTCTTCACACCACATTGTTCTTGTTGTGTTCTTCACACTCTTTAACTTCTGTTTATGCATAAATTCGTTTAATAATATAACTTCAGCTGGATTCGCACTTGCAACTGCAACATGGTACGGTCCACCCAATGGACATGGAACTGGTATATATTCATTTATAACGAGTATATTAAATATATTAGATTATTATATTTCTCCGATATCATTGTGTGAAGCACAATATATTATTACTTTTAATATTTTAATTACATTAATTTGTAGATACTGGAGCTTGTGGATTTGGATATGTAGGCAATCCTCCCTACAACTCCTTAATTGCTGCAGGAAATCAAGCTTTATACCAACATGGCAAAGGCTGTGGACAATGTTACGAGGTATATAAACAAGATGATATGTTTTACCCTTGCTAATATGATAAAACAAATTTATTTTATTATGCATTTTTGTAATACATTTAATAAGATAAGAAATGATGAGATCCGAATTCAAATGTACTATATTAGACAAAGTGTAACTTGTTACTAAGTTACACATTGATCTCTTTTATCTTGTTTTGTTTATGTGTGTTTAGTTTAATAATTCTCATGGGAACCAATTGTACATTTCAGGTAAAATGCAACTCAAATCCTTAGTGTTCAGGAAATCCAATAAAAATTCATATTACAGATGAATGTCCCGGTGATTGCAATAGTGTGCCGGTTTGGTTAGACTTGGGTGGAATCGCTTTTGGTGCGTTGGCAAAACCGGGCCAAGCTGATGCATTGCGTAATGCTGGAAAGATTAAAATTTCATACCAAA